TTTTTTTACATTGCCCCTATTTTACATTTGAGCCCCTGCCCCTGATGAACTCTCTGCACATCCCTGTAACACAATTAAGGTTTAACTAGCCAATCATATCAAGAGCAGTCCACTCAAGTGCAGTCAAGTCAAGTCAAGTGCAGTCCACTTAGAAAATGATAGTGTGGAGCTTTTTCTCTTGTAAATAGCGCTTTCTGTTTAAACATGACAAATGCCTCCATTCTTCATAAGTACTGAGTCATTAGTAAAGGTAATTGTTTTCCACTTTAGTTTCTAATTCATCCCACACATAGAAAAGAATATGTTAAAGCTGAAAAAAATATTTTTATGTTTTGATTAATCTGCCTCTGTTTGGTTCTGTATCCAGCATGAAGTGAGGTATCAAACTTTAAAGTCGATTGCTTGAGAGACGTCCAGCGGAAGGGCTTTGACTACGACTGGCCATCTGACAGAGAGACAGAGAGAGAGCGAGTGAGACGGCTTAAAAGACGGCAGAAATCATTTTGAGAGAATTCCACAGTAGAATGGAAGAATTTGCAAAGAAGTTGTACTAACCCTCAGACTCAGTGAGGAAGCATGTGCAAGAAAATGAAATGAAAAACTCATGAATTGTGAACTATATACTATGGTGTGGACTATATTGTTTTTCTTGTTTACATTTGGGTATAAGGAATATTTCACAACAAAATTAAAATTCTGTCATAATTTATTCAACCTCATTCTAAACCTGTATGAGGGACGAAAGCAGAGGTTTAACAGAATGTCTGAGCTGCTCTCTTTCATTCAGTGAAAGTGGATGGGGACCAGGGGTTGTCAAGCTCCAAAACGCACCATAAAATAACTATAAAAATTTGATAGCTTTGTGTGAGGAGCAGACTGACTTAAATCATTTTTCACTGAAAATCTTGCTTGACAGCCATGGTCACAAGTCACTTTCATTGTTTAGAAAACAACAGCCTAGACAGTCAGCTATAAATAACTCCTTTTTTGTTCCACAGAAACAAGAAACTCATACAGGTTTAAAAAAATAATAATGTGAAGGTGTGTAAATGATGACAAAATTAATTGTTTTAGTTTTCAGTAGAAACTCACAAATGTGCGGCTGGGGCTTCCTGAGTGAGAGCGAACAGGACTGGAGCTACGACTCCTGCTTCGCCACTAGAAGAAAACATCCATTCAAACATCATTTCAGTTTCAGTGCTTTAACAATTTAAATTAAATTCAGTTTATTCTGTTTTATTCCGTTTACTCGGTATTCAGTTTTAAACTGAATTCTTTTCATTTTTACAATTTAATCATTTTAAAAATTATATTCATTTTTATATTACTTTAATTATGTATTCAAATTTAAAAATATAGTAGTTCTTTAACAATAATGCATAAAACTTATTAAGAAACATTAACAAAAATATCCACAAAAAATACTTTTTTAGATAAGTCTTTTCTTCTTTTCTATGAGGTATGTCATGACTAGTATGAATGCTATTTAGATTGATTTTCTCTGAATGGCCTCCACATACCAGAGCTCCTCTCCTAGTGACCGCCTCTCCCTTCAGTATGACAGTGTCTCCCTCCAACAGCACAGGCCACACGTGATATGCCACCAGCGGAGCGGTGAACTCAGAGTCAAAACTGCGCCTGTACCTGAGAGGAAGTGAAAGTGCGATGGGTAAGTCACTCATTTACATTTCTGTTCATCTCAATTTGTTTTAGTTTTTTGTTTCATTGATAAAAATTTCAGTGTAATACACATCTTTAAAAAAATTCTGCATTTTAAATCACTGTGTGTGAGGAGATAAAAGATGCATCTCAAGACCTTTGATGGGTGTTAATGTGGATGTGTAAGTGTGTCTAATTTATGAGCTCCACTTACTTAACGTCACTGTAAAGTTCTCCATCTGAGCTGAAGGCCAGGTCCAGTGGTGGGTCCAGAGTTTGCATAGCAAATGCTATTCGACATGCTTCCCTAATGAAGCTGCTGATCAGAACAAAGTCCACCTCTGGAGGGAAAGAGATGCGTGGGTTTACATTCATCGCGTTGATGACATCCTGTAGATGGAAATTGAACAATTACAGTGTTGTTATTGCTAACTTAAACTATTAAATTTAAAAAAATTAAAATACGTGAAAAAGTCAAAAACAAAACAAAAAACAGAAATGTTATCTGAGCAACTAACTGAAATAAATAATCTGAAGTACTAAAATTACTGAAACTAAAACTGAAATGAAAATAGATTAAAGCTAGATAGAAATATTTTTTTAAAAATGACAAAAGCATATAACAAAATTACTACAACTTAAACTAAAATTAAAATAAAACTGAAAAAATAAAAATAAAAGCTAATTCACAAATATTAAGAAATGTTATAATAGTATATATATATAATACAAAAATAACACTGGTGCACAGACGATTTCTGGGGAAAATAAAACTGTTAAGAAATCAAAAGAAAAAGAGAAAAGTCTGTTCTGATTTTTGAGAATGATAAGACATAAAAAAAAATTGTGTTTTGTGTGTTTATTTCAGATTTCAAATTTCAGAGCTGCCATAGTTAATCAGAGAAAGGTATCAGTGTTTGCAACTTTGGTCAAACGTACATTAACGCTGGTCTGCACATCATACAGGTCCAGATTTCTCACAATGTAATCCACCACTGCATCCTCCAAACTCTCAGGACCAATGTGAGTGGAGGAAAGTGTCTTCCTCACACGTGTTTTAAACTGACGATAGGCCAGCTTAGCAGCCTGAAATGATTCCTGTTGGACAATACAAATTATTATAACACAGCATATAATACAGCATCTTCCCTGCTGCTATAAAATAATAATATCATATACATTTTTTATTTCCAGATATATATAAAAATATAATTTTTCTTTAATTTTGGATCAGATTAAGTAACTGTTCAAATGAAGTAACTGCTATATTCTTTAATATGTTCTGTAACTTTAGAAAGGACCATAACATTAATACTAGCCTAGTGGTTATCAATGAATGGCAATGGATATCCAGAGTTATTCTTACCACAACAGCGATGAAAAGGATCCTCTGGACTGTTTCCAGATCATCGATGTATCTGCGCAGGAGACTCTGGGATTCCAGTCTCTCTGTGGTGTACAGGTCTGAGAAATGGGAGACCAGCCGTGCGTGCCGAGAGGAACTGGTGAGCTGTGCGCGTGTAGGAGACTCGCCCCTCACAGGGCTAACGGAGCGACTCCGGCGGGGAAGAGGACTAGGTGAACGGCTCCTGACC